ATTGAGGCTCTTCACCATCAGAAAACTTGTAGTAACTCTGCTTTTTTAACAAGCAACACTAAGGCAGTCAGCACAGACCGGCGCTTTTCTTTTCATGTCTTTTGTTTTCATCTTGATGGCTATTTAGATATACTGATACGTCACGGAGGCATTTCACGCTGTGCCATGCTCAAAAATGTAATAATAACTATCTCTAATGTTTCACTAAAAAAAGATTAGGAATAGCATTTGTGGTATTTGGTGACAAGATAATGTTAAATTGTTAAGCGTTAAGAAGCGATAGGATCTTTTCTTACCTGAGCAGGTTTGTTGTGGTGTTTTGTGAAGTGTGGAAAGTCAGGGAGCATCCAGCCAGCCTGTCTTTGATGTCGCTGTTTAGTCTCTGGTAAAGAGACCCAGCTTTTTGGACTGCAATCATCACAGGAGGAGATTTGTTGTCCAGTCTTAAGTGCAGAACACCTCAAAAAGTGCTGTTGTCTTTTTCATAGATGAGTGAACACTATTCACAATAGAAGTTGGAAAATAGAAGTTAGAACTTCAACAGCAGCAATAAAATCACAGGCACAGTATAATACACACATCCCACGTGAATTAGTGACCTAACTCATATAAAAGAGCTGAAATCTGCAAAGGCAGAAATCAGAGAGCAGCAACTCAGGCAGTGAGGGGGGATGCCTTTTAAGGACATGTTCAGCAGTGTTATGTTCCACTTGGTACTGCTGTTCCAGAGAAGGTGCTGGTGTGTGTAGTGTTAGTGAGTTATGCAACAGAAGGATAACAAAAAAACATGAAGCTGAGATTACAGGGCATGATAAATTTTACAAAACAATGACAGAGACAATTAGAATTAAATTAAGTAGAAAAAATCCCCCCCAAAAAACAGCTTGATAGACTCACCACATGACATTGTTCTTTCTCCTTATGCACAAAATATGAGTTACTTTGTAGAACAAATATGTTAATCCTAATCAGACGGTCTAAAGGATTCTGTCATAACATGCGTCACCTCTTGCTGCGACTGTGTGAAGTGCAAAAATGAGTCTGAAGAACAAGCAGAATGACAACAGATTGTTTCACAATTACTTCTTCCGAAATGTTTTTTAAAAGCGCTTCCTCTATTGAAACTGGAAGTGGCCTCATAGTTTTATGACGACGAACGAGTCCTTCGACATATTTATTTTCAACGACGCAAACGGGCTCTATTGCAAATTCCTGGGTAATCTGCGATCTTTCCCCAACAAAGTCAAACCAATACATATGAAAACACATGTATGTCTCAAACACCTGCAAAAAAAAGCACCGTCCTGTCACGACATACTAACATGTCAGGACAGGAAACAAACAGGCATATTCAGTACCAGTAAATCAGGGACTCTGACAGTTTCTTCAAGCTTTTATGATGAAGTTCATGAGGTTTTCTTTCCCTGTGATATACCAGTGCATTTGCTCTTTTAAAAAAACAAATTATTAATAAATTATTATTTTTAACCAACATCCATATGGGACATGGACATACAACAAGTAAAACAAGACAAGTTGAAATAGACAGGATAAAAGAGGTATGGTAATAAAAAGTAAACCCAAAATCAACCTGATTTATATGTGTGTACACACAAATGCACACAAGTCTGCACACATACCTACACACACACATATACAGATACATTGCAGTCAATGGTAATCTAGGTTTACATTGCTAGTTGTTGGATGTAGCTATTATGGAGCTTTCTTGCAGAGTTGTCAGGGACTTTTCAGCTGTAACTACAATTATAACAGTGATGGGGTGGTTTGTTTATAATTATTAGTGGCTCTGCTCCAGTTCCAGATTTTTATTGGAGTGAACTCATTTTCGTGTTAAACCACTATTACCATTCAGTTGGTGTCCTTGTGTGTAACCTGTAGAAGATGAAGGTCTAACAAGAAGTGTGTAGGTCCTCTTGTGAGTGTGTGAGAAGTAACATTTCCAAGATATAGGCTGAGCCCCTCGGAAGCAAACATGGATCTGAACAGGGGTTTTTCGTGAAACGGCTTTTCAACTGATGTCCACGCTGTTCGTTTGTTAACAAAAGAAAGGTCTATTTATGGTACATCTCACATTAATCAGCCACGTGTCATTGGAAAAACGTAGACTGATATCAGTGATGTTGTGTATCACTGCATTCAAAGACTATGTGTAGATAGATATCTAAGCTTCGAACATGTGCAAAGAACAAGAAACAACCAACGTCCTGTAAAAACAAGTCAGGACAGGAACAACACAGATGTGTTCAGTACCAGGGAATCTATACCTCTGACAGTTTCCACAAAGCTGAACATTAGAGTTACTCTTATGTTGTAACTATCATGTTGTAACAGGGAATCCCGGAGTGTTTTTTGTATATTTAAAAGTGCCTTTGTTCTAGAGCATGACAGGAGTCACAGAAGTGGCACAAAGTTGAGAACAATAGAGGTTTAGCGGTGCAACAGGATGGATGCCAAGGAGATTCGCCCTGGACTCATCTGTGGAACTGGTGTTGGATATAGTGGAGGAGTTGGTTCCAGTAAGAAGGCCTTTCCAAGTAAGCAAGACATAACTGGTGAAAACAGTGATTTCTGTAAGGGTTAGAGCAGCTGTTCAAGACTGTTGGACCTGTAAATACAATGTAAAAGTCAGACTTCTAGCTTGGTTTTAGCTTATTTTTTTATATGCCCTGGGCTTGTTTTATTATAAATAAATGTTACGTTCTACTCTTGAGTTTTGGACTCCTTGACTACCACTGCTCTTTTATTTTTTAGCTGCTCTCCATCTTATGGAAAAGGCTCTTCCTCTTGCTTCTCCTTTTCCCTTGTTACAACAAACTACAACTTTGAATTCTTATCAATTTTAAATATTTTTTAAAAGCAGTAGGTTAATAACAACACACACTCAGAAATGTTACGGCTGAAATGAAATTTAATTACATGTAAACTTTACCTGGAATTTTGTTACATAAGTGCAATATAGATGTTACATTTTATGAAATTTGGTCCAATAAATGAACTTCATTGGTATAAATTCAAGCACATTTTTCTTTAATGATTCATTATTTGAACAAATAAACCTTTGATTTTGTATATTTCAATTGTATTTTACTCAAAATTATTGTTTCATATTATAAAAGGTGAAGAATCTTTTTTTTAGTGTACGTCTTTAACCAAGTGTCTGTTTTCTCAGTAAACACACAGTTACAAAACTGGACTTTCAGTTAACACAATAAGCATGTGACACACAAACGCACAGGACTCACAAACATACTGCTGGACCAGTAACACAGCAACACAAGTCCTTAATGTATTTTTATGTAGAAAACAATTAATGTGAATTTTGGGGTTTTAAAAACAATTATGAAGATAATGCGTGATGGCATAAGGAAGTAAAATTAGTAAAATGTTTTACAGGAATGTAGTCGAGCAAGACTCGGCTCACTCATACTTGTTTTCTTTGAAAGCTTGCTGCCTTCTAACGCCAAGACAAGCTTGACAGCAGCTGCAGTCAGTCAAAGGTATCCTCAAACTCAGCATTGTGACGTATAAAGTGCAGTACAACATACCAGCAGCTATTCCAGAGTTTTCCCACTCTTGTGAGACGCAAGGACAGTCCTGATGTCCTCTTATTTGTTACCTGTATGTGTTTTGAGAGTATATTAAATTGTCACTATGGTCTCCTGAGAGGAGCCTTTGATAAGAACAAGTAAAATGTCACAACTGCATCTCAAAGGTTTTGGCTTGGCATCAAATCAATACAGGTCACAACGTCATCTACAAGCATCATCGTCCACGAGACTCCTGCCTGAGCTCATCTGTCAACCTGTCCGACACTATTGCACACAAGATGGGGCTCAGGGCTGATCCCTGATGTAATCCCACCTCCACCTTGAACCCATCTATCACTTCTACTGCACACATCACACTGCCCCTCTAGTCTCATATTTATTCTGCACCACCTTCACATATTTCACTGCCATACAGCGAGACTCTTCTGGATCAATTGACTTCATTTTTCATGGCATTTTATATCATTTTCTTTTTGCAAATTTTCTAATTAAATGAATTTTGTGACTATCATTGTGACTTTCCTTGAATGTTCTTTTGACCTTCCTTTGCAGAATGATGGTAGTGCATACTTTAGCACCATCTACTGAGGAGGAAGAGTTTCCTCATGTGCATTTTAAATGTGACATTAAATTTGACTAAATTTACTTTGTTTAAGGTGGAAATTTGAACTTCTTCAGTTACAAAAATGAAAGTAATTATTTAAGTTGAAAACTTAGTATATTTTAACATTTAACACATGCCTAAAGGTTGGAAAGAAGGAGGATTTGCCGTTTCCCTTGCTTTATAATTTAGGTTTTAATGAATTCATAGAGCAGTGGAAGTCACGTCTAGCTGTTAAAATCCGAATAGCAGAAAATTTTTAATGCGAGCTCTTTGTGGAGGCATCTACAAGCCTTCCAGGTGTTTGTTTATTAATTCATAGCAATATTTAAACGTCCGTAAAACATAATTACATTAAGTTTGTAATTCTCTTTAAGCTAATTGAAGTAAGAATAAAAAAGAAATGTAAAAAGGCAAAAATAACTTTTACGGGTTTTTTTGTAATTAAAGAATTACTAAAATAGATTTTACATTTCCCAGAAGCCTCTTTGTCTTTACTTTTTATCATTTCTGAGAACACAACAAGTAATTGCAAGCATGTGCATATGTATTGTTCTGTAATTATTCTTTTTTAAAAGCAACTAATTATAAGTAAAATGATCTTTAAAATGAACACACTGAAAGCTACAAGGACAACTCTGATCCATATTTTTGCGCTCAGGTTTTCACAACATGTTTCAGGCTTTGCAGGAACCGGGACGGAGTGAGCACTCTTCGCGTTCTCCCGCTCTCACTTGGTCGGTAACCAAGCCGAGGCTTCCCTGCTTTTGCCATGACAACAAAGAAACGATCCCGGTACATTCCCTGTTGTTTGGCCCCTGGTCACTAGGTAACAGCAACGCGAATCCAAGAAAAAACATCCGGAAAAGATCCCCGATTGTTCTTCTGTTCGTTTAAACGAAGAACACCAGAAGACGCTTCTTTACGCATCAGAATTCCTGAGCGACAAATCCACTAAAAGACATGACGACGCATTCTCTTCCTGTTTTAGAGAACAGTCCTGGTCAAAAACTCCAGGTGGGAAATGGAGTAAACAACATTTTTGTGACACAGTCGCAGGACACCAGGTAGGCCCGTGGTTTTGAGGAGCAGCAAGTTACGTCTGATGTCCTACCCCATTCATACATGCCTTTACTGTCTTAGACTGTTACTGACAGTTTTCTTTTCACACACAGAAGGGAAGATGATGTCAATCACATACCAGTTTTAAAAGTGGTAAGATTTGTGCTTTCACAGAAAATAGTCTCACTTCCACAGGTTCTATTTCTTCTATTTCCTGCTTTATACCTTTAATTCTATTTGATTTTACTTCTTCTTTTAAACCACTTGGTAACTTTTCTTTTGAGGCGTTTTACATAAATGCACCCTGCAAATGTTTCAGTATTAAAGTATCTGAGCGGTTCTGGTTGTGTGTATGTGTTTGTGTGTGTGTGTGTAGCCTTCGAGCAGAGTCTTGGCGGCAGGAGTGACTACTTTGCAAAAAACCCTGGTTCTGAAGAAACAGGCAGAGCTGGATGAGGTGGAGAAGCGACTTGCACTTAAACGGCTGGATTTTAAAGCCTGCATGGAGGCCCTAGCTCAGCGAAGGTCTGACCTTGAAATAAAACTACAAGAGGTGAGACCACCTTAAATGAGAAGCAGTAGTAGTTATCCATCATCTGAAAGAGACTGTCCTAATGTGGCTGGCTTTTGTCTTTTCTTTTCATGCAGACTAAAGAAAAAGTAGGGAAATTTGAGAAGTTCGTAGCTGAGAATGAAGCAAAGCGACGCAGAGCGTTAAAGAGCTGTGAAGCTTCACGGGCGCAAAACATTTTTAAAAAGCAGCAGATAAAAGATTTGACAGAACAGCTTAAAGGATTCAGAGACAGGTGAGACCTTGAAATGTTGTTTTTAATTTAAAGATTTCTTTCATGAAGTTGTTTTTTAAGCCCGGCTTTGCCATGGTTTAATTTGCAGGAGGCACGTTTTAAAGGAGAGAGTGGCAAAATACAAAATCTATGAGGATTATTTGATAAAAACACGAGATTATCTCCCCAGCAGTAAGTTCAAATCCTCATTATTGAGCCTTCAAATGAACTTGCTTTGTTTAGCCTGTTGAGTAAAGCGCACAGTCCGTTTCAGATTACCTCGATGACGGGTCTGAATCTCTAGTCATGCCCATCATTCGGCGTCATGAGACCTTATCCATCACACACCAGGAGCTGCTGCAACGTTTGCAACGTATGGAGGCGGAGGTGGAGGAAGGCCAGCGGCAGCTGCAGAATATGAAGGAGGAACACAGCGTAAAGAAACTGGTCAGATATACAAATACGGATGTTAGATGTATCATGTCTTCATAGCAGTACTGCAGTTTATAGCGGTTGATGTGTTTTTGTATGTATTGCAGATGGCCAATAAAGAGCTGTCTGAACTGCAGAGTGAGTTAGAGACCCTCAAAGAGAAGAACAAGCAGGCAGAGGTTAACTTGCAGATGGAGCAAGACTTATCCAGAGAGAAGGTATGCCTTCCAGATTAGCTGGATGTGACCCTGCTCATTAATCTTGGGAACTTTGGATAGAAATAATGTCATGTGTGCCCTTCATGTTTCAGGTTACAGAAGTGGGAAGACTTCTTATGGCCATCAGCAACCTTGCAGAACAGTGTTACCTACCAGAATACGGACCGCTGGAAAAGATGAACGCGCTGACAATGATGGACATGGTGAAGGTATTTACGTGCAGGATGAGATGATTGTTAGGGTCCATTTTTAGTTTACCCAAATCTTGACTGACCATTTCTTTCAGGAGTACATTCTGGACAAGGTAGACACGGAGAGGAGAGCGAGGAGGATGATGGAGTTGGGGAGTTCGATGCCGAGCACAACGGCCGCGGCAAACAAAAGAGAGAGGGGGTCAATGAGAAGCTTTGGAAGTAAAACACAAATCAAAAGTTCAAGTAAAGTCAGCAGAAAGAGTGAGACATTTGGTTGATGTTGTAGTTTGAGTATTCATCACAATGTTGTCTCTTATGGTTTGTTGAGAGTGGAAGTTCGTTCTTGAGGTGGGAAGAAGCATTTGCTACCACTTCGTAGCAAATGAAGTGTTACCAAAACCTTGAGAAAAAAAAAGCTTGTAGGACAACATAATGTATTTTTTTTCATTATTTGCCTTTATAACATTTGTTCAGTGTTTCAAAAATCTGTGCACCAACCTTTGCACTTAAGACGTCATAGACAAGGAAATGAAAACGTAGCTGTTTGAAATGAGATCCTCATGTTTAACAGGTCATCCGAACTTGTAAATTTGGATTTGGGCACATTGTACTGTGAATATTGCTTTTATTTAAAAAATAAATAAATAAAAATAAAGTGGTCATAATCAAATTATGTAAATGCTCACTCAATCAACAGCAACCCACCACCTTTGCATTATACAAAACACCAAAACCAAGCAGCCAATAAAATCTCCTTTGACCCTATTGCCACACATTTCCCACGTTTCAAAGTTAAAACCTGTGATGCCACGACAATAATGCAAAAAGCTTTAGTTTCTTGTTACTTTGGTGATTCGGATTGCTTACCCAAACCTATGACTGGGTGCCCCGAAAGCGTTATTGTAATATAAAATGAGCACCACACCAGCACGATGCATGAAAAACAGTATATGAACAATAAAAAAGAATTTTAAGTACATTTTTAATACAAATATGATCCCATTTAGCAGATAAAAGCCTGATTCAGTACTTTCATGAGAAACTGAAGACATGGCTCGCACGCTATAAAAACCCCGCTCTGGCCCTTTAACACAAGCACGTGGTTTCCGCAAACATCCGGTTTTTAGAAAGTAGGAACGAAAACGCAACAATGTTTTGACACGCGTATTTCTTAATTGTAGTTACGGGTTTTTTGAATTGTTTCCAGGTTTTTGAAATATGAAGGTACGTCACGCGGTCAGGTAACTCTTGAAACTGCGGGGTTTTTTTTCTTTCAGGTAGTAAAACTGCTTGTTTGTCCACAGATGGAGGATGGCAGCTTGGTTTCATGCAGAGAGGACATTTCTTCGCTGTTCCCTGCGCAAATGCTGAGTGCCAAACAGCAAGTAGGCTATTTTGAAAAAGGGCTGAGGTTGATGTAGTGCAGGTGGTCACGGTCACCCCTCCTAACTACTGCAGAATAACCGGACCTGTTGTCCTTTCTCAGGATCTGAGCAGCCAGTTTTGCGCCGTAAGAAAAGTTTGCGGCGACGGGAACTGCTTCTACAGAGCTTTCTGCTTCGCATACTTGGAGTCAGTCCTACACAGTGCCAGGGATTTGCAGAGGTCAGATTTAATTGCTGTTGTCACTAATATCACCTGATGATTGAACAGCGTTGATATGATAAGGGTGGTGCTTGTCTCGCCCCTCTCAATGTTAGGTTCAAGGACAAGATAATCCAGGGCAGCGCAATTTTGGTCTCTGCAGGATTTGAGGAGGATTTCTTCAGGCACCACCTGGACACGGTAAATGCACTCATATTTGTTTTTCTTCCAACAAGTTATTAGCATCTCCTCAGACCTCATTAGTAAAATAATGGGTGGGAAATGGCACTTTGTAGCCCGTGAGCTTTAACTTGCCGTTTGATGTGTATGTAGTACATACATCGAACAAATGATAACTTGGTTTTGGGTTAACTTTCTGTGTGTGTGTGTGTGTGTGTGTGTGTGAGAGAGAGAGAGAAAAGATTCTAGTCCCCAATCCCAGTCCACGAGGGCCGTTGTCCCTGCAGGTTTTAGATGTGTCCTTGATCCATCACAGCTGATTTAAATGGATAAATTACCTTCTCAACATGTCCTGAATTTCTCCAGAGGCCTGGTAATGAACTAATCATGTGATTCAGGTGTGTTGACCCAGGGTGAGATCTAAAACCTGCAGGGACACCGTCCCTCGTGGACTGGGATTGGGGACCCCTGCATTAGATGTCTGCTTCTCAACTACTTTTGTACTGATTGGACCATTTGCTTTGCGTCTACAATTTCAACTGCAACACTGTACAAAGATCTTGAGTCACCCCTTATTTCCTTACATTTTCCTAGGAAAACTGATGCAGCATTTTACTGAAATGTGCAAAGTAATTGTAATGTAGACTAAGGTTTAAAAAAAAAAAGTTTGTGCAGTGAGCTTTAAAAGTCAATATTTGGTATGACTACATTTTATTCTTTAACACAGCCTGAACACTCTCAGGCAGCTCTCTTGCCATTTCTTCAAGTAGTCTTCAGGGATAGTTCCTCAGGCTTTTCGGAGGACACCCAACGCCCCCAGGTAGACCTTCCATGGTTTAGATGGCTATAAAACACTGTTTAATTAATCGCACTATAAGACCTGTTGCCAGTATTTTATTCTGCTGGAACAAAAATGGTGGCAGCAGGCTTATGAAGTCACAGTATGTATATCAACCTAAATCAGAATCTGGCCATCTGGATGTATATCTCTGTATTACACACCAGTTTGTTCTGATTTTAAAGACAGTATTACTCCTGCGCTTCACCAGTTTGGCATCCTGCTAGACCTGTGTAGTTTAAAAAGGTGCAGAAAATGACTATTGAATGAAATCTTACAGGCACCATATTTTCTGTAAAAAAGCAAAGTCTAATTGTTCCTCTTTCTGTTGAAGGTTCTTCAGGTTGTTGAGCAAAGCCAAGCAGATGTAAATGCACTATCCAGGCTCTTCAATGAGCATACTACCTCCGACAGCGTTGTGCAGTATCTCAGGCTGCTCACTTCAGCACACCTGCAAAACAATGCAGACTTCTTCCGCAACTTTGTGGAAGCACCTGATCTACATGTCTACTGTCATCAAGTTGGTATTGGCGTTGCTGCCATATACTGCATAAAGAACCTCTGAATTATTTAAAGTGGATAATTTGAAGGATTTTGATTAAAATCTCTTCTCTTCGTTAAGGAAGTGGAGGCTATGGCGATGGAGTGTGATCATGTGGACATCTTGGCTCTGTCTCAGGCTCTGGACATCTCCATCCACATCGTCTCTATGGAAGGCAACGAACAACAGCTGGCTCACCACATCATTCCAGAAAATGGGGACCCATCCCTGCATCTCCTCTACCACACATCTCATTATGATATTCTCTACCCTCGGGCACAACTATGACCAACGAAACTCTGCTCGAATCAGGAATATTGACTACGGTTGAATAAATTCCAACTGGGCTTGAAGACACTTACAAAATTAGATTTTTATAAAATCTTGCAGTTTACAGGAATCCATCATCTGGGGATGCATCTGTTGCACAATGTGCACTAAACATTTAAAGACTTAAAATGCTATTTACTTTTTTTACCCTTTTATAAATTGTGTCATTTGAAGTTTTTTAATAAACCTCTCAATAAAGAAGTCATTTTGCCTTCTGCTTCTGTTTTTTCTGCCGTGGATGGATCCTCGTCTTTGGTTTCTCCTGTGTTGAAACCCTGGTTAGGGCACTCTCCATCCCAGCAAGGGGCATTTGGGGCAGGGGGAGCTTTCCCATTTGAGTAGGATACTTGGTCTTCATTACATTCTTGAAAATGGGCATTGAAATCAAACGCTTCAACTCCTTTTTCATCCCCTTCACCATCCTCTGCTGCTCTCTGTCTGCATCCTCATCATTTGCATTGCCTGTGGAAATGTGTGGACTTAATTTTCTGCATTGAAACTTTATTTTGAAATGCAAACATTTTAAAAGTGCTGGTTTTACCAAGTAATAAGTCCTCATCCAGATCCACCTCCAGGGCTTCTGCTGCTTGCTTGAGCCAGGAGTTGTGGTGTTTCTCCTTGCTGTTGTAGTACTCTACCTTTTCAATTCTCCTGGCTAAGTTTACTCGCTCCTGTGGAGGAACCCAAGTTATATCAGTTAAACCCTCTAACATCAAAAATGGACAGGACCTTATTCTGATGGATCTCACCATGATTGCGTCCATGCATTTGGTCTCTATGGGAAATGTGGGAAGCTCTTCGTCCTTTCCAAGAGTCTTGCATATCTTTTTGAAGTTCATCATGTCATCTGGGCTTACTAGCAGCATACAGAGGCCCTCTTTAGTCGCTCTTGCTGTTCTCCCACTCCGATGCACATACGTCTCAGATGTTCTAGGAACCTGGTATGAACAAATCACACTACTTGAGGAACAGTGCTCATTACATTGCTGTAGTTATAAGCCGTTGCCAACATTACTCTTTTAAGCTGCTTTTTATTGTAAGGTAAAGACCCTCCTATGAGCAAGCATTTGGCGACAAAACTCCCTTTTAACAGGAAGAAACCTCCAGCATAAAAAGACTCTGATGTGCAACCAGCTGCTGAAACTGGTTGGGGGGAGGGAGACGAGACAAAAGACACATTGATGAAGAGAGCTAGAGTTTAATAACAAATGATAAATGCACAGTCGTGTATAAACACTCAGTGCATCATGGGAAACCTGCAGGGACTGTGTTTTATGGCTGTGGTGGTTAGTGTTGTGGCTAATTGATAACCTCTTGTTCATGCTGGAGAATCCTTGGGCAACTGTTTAAGGGGTTACCTGGTAGTGAATAACATGCTGGACATTGGGGATATCCAGGCCTCTTGCTGCCACATCAGTAGTCAGGAGAACACAACTGTGAAGAGAAACAAAAGAAATGGCAATGTCAAAGCTAGGTGCCTTTAAAAAAATAAAAAATCACTAATGTTTTGCAGTAAATACAGCTCAAGACTGCTGCTGATTACAGGAACTACAAAAACCATCAGGACTTGAATGTGTCAAATGTTTAAAATGTGAATACTTTCACAAATTTAAAAATGGTTTTAAAGTAGATAAAGACAAAACTATTTCAGGCATTTTTGTGCATACTAGACGAATTCCTTACTCCCACAGTTAAAGTTTAGATGTCACCAGTGGCACACAGTTACTGGATAAATGCTGAAGACAACTTGATGTTGCTACTGCAAATGTGAGCACAACTCACTTCTCCCTCTCAGCGAACCTCTCCAGGTTTTTCAGCCGTTGTTTCTGGTGCATGTTGGCATGTAGAGGCAGCGGAGTACAGTCTAGTATAACCAGCAGAGAATTCAGCCTCTTTATACAGTCAATACTGTTGGCAAACACCATGGTCCGCCCAGGATACTGGAGCAGGAAGTAATAGAGGTAGAAGTCCTTCTCATCCTTCTGACAGTGGATTTGAGTCTCAATCAGTGTCTCCACAGTTGCCTCCTTCCTGGTGAGGTCAATGACTTTGGGCTTGGACTTAATCCCCACTTTCTCCATAAGAATTTCCAGCTTGTTCCTCTGGTCCAGATTCTTCTTCTTCTTTTGAAGGAGGCGAGTGGGAAGGCTGTGAACCATCGTCAAAGTGGCAGAGAACACAAAAGTTTGCCTAGTGGGATTGAAGTGGGTCGTATTTAGCATTTCCAGCAAATTCTCCAGCTCGGCAAAATGCCCTCTTTCTACCATGCGATCAGCTTCATCAATGACCAGACACCTGTGTCATAGGAAGAAGAGGAATTAAGAGAGGATAACAAAAATCTAACAAATAGGCCTGCCTGAAAGACCTTTACCACAGAACACAGAATCAGGCTCTTTCACACATGATATGATTTGAGGGTTAAAAGCAGTGTCAGTAATCGGGTGAAGGAAAAACAAAACTTATTGTGATATTTTGTGTGGTGATATTGTACTGATACAGGAACACCAAATATTAATATTTTATTAAATACATTAAAATACTCTGGGAAAACTTTGAAAAGAGGGCTCGATTCACCTGATAGGAGGCACCCTTCCTACTAACAGGTGTAGTCTGATTTGGACTGACTGCAATCACTCTGCAAATAATTGTTATCTAATATATGAAACCAGACAGATAGCCAACATGTTTCCGAATGAGTCTTTCTCAATGTGCATCAACTGGCTGCCAGCGGGTTCTATTTTAGTTATATTCCCATAAAAATAGGAAGGACAATGAGTTAAATGTTAATAGTAAACTAAAGTAAAACAACACAGATATTGACAAAGTTTAACTTTAGGAAATAACTTGCAGTTTAAAAAAGGTGATATATTTTATTGGAATACTCAGCATATTACAAAATAATAAAAATCATGATAATATATCATAAGTGAAGTACTGTGATAATATTGTATCGATTACCACCTCTAGCAAATAAGTCAGACAGTCTTAAATTAAGACTCACCTGAGCTGCCTGAGGTTGACCAGATGTGGGTGCCTCTCCTTGATCAAATCCCACAAACGCCCCGGAGTTGCTATGATGATCTCTGGCCTGCGTTTCAGCACTCGTCTTTGTTTCTGCTGTGCCATTCCACCCACCACTAAGGCTGTTTTTATATCTGCACAGCAGGAAAACATTAGCTATGCTGACATTTATACATCTCTTACGAGAAAACTGCTACCGTAACATGCTGATGAGCTATGACTTACCTGTGAATTTTGCGACAGCATCAATATGATGTTTGACCTGAACAGCCAGCTCCCTGGTGGGAGTGAGAACCAGTCCTAAGAGGGGTCGACTCTGAGCACCAGCGGGTTTTTCATCAAAATCAAAGTCTGCATTCTTGATTACCCGAACACATCCAAGCTGTTCATCTTCTACGTCGCTGTGATCATCTTCATCTGAGTCTCCTTGATTCTGATCTTCAGCACCTTCATCGTTTTCTTTAGAAGCCTCCACTCCCTCCTCTTGGTCCTCTTCAGCTGATTTTGTACACTCATCTACAGGTGGTAAGTACAAACTCTCCACCTTTGTGACTGGTTCAGCGTCATCATTAGGTTTTTCTGGGCTATTCTTCCACTCCAGGATGGTATGGATTATGGGAATGCCGAAAGCCAGTGTCTTGCCACTTCCTGTAAGTACAACATCCGTATTAGCTTCACTTTTAAAAATCTGTGAACAGAACATGACACTATAAACCTATCACTTTTATCTTACCAGTTTCAGCTGCTCCCAGTATATCCATACGATCCCTGATAGCTGGAGGCAAACACAGGGCTTGGATTGGTGTCGGTGAACCAAATCCAAGACTGCTCAGTGCCTTCAGGACAGGTGGGGGGACAAACAGGTCCTTCCATGCACTCATGTCAACATTTTTGTCTTCAGAACCAGAAAGTGCAGCGTTTGTCCAATTTTTTGCCTTCTTGTGTGGGGCCTTTGTCACTTTATCTTGACCGGATTTTTCTTTTTCCAGATCTGATGAAGACTCTGGGTTCGGCTCTTCTTCTGGGACTGTATCCTTCACTGTCTGCTGCCCTTTCCCCTTTTTCTTCTTCTTCCTGCTTCTCTTTGCATCTTTGGGATCAGCAGTGATGGCTGCAGAATCATTTTCATCGCCCTCACCTGCTACCTCATCCTCTCCTCCCTGCTCAGTGGCAGCATTATCCTTCTGCTTTACATCTTGTGCAGAAATATTTTCCGACTCCGTTGCAATCCCTTTCTTGTTTTTCCTCTTTTTCTTGGCTTTTTTCTTGGCTGGCTCACTTGTGCTCTCCCCCTCTTTGATCTCAGAGTCTCCTTTCTCTCCAGCCTCCTCGCCGTCACCAGCTTTTCTTTTCTGTGTTTTCTTCTTCTTCTCCCCTTTCAGCTCCTTTGCTGCTTTGGCCGCAGCCTTCTCACTGTTTATTAAACGGTAATCCGTGAGCTCTTCGAAACACACCAGACCCTCTAAGCCCTCCTCGGAGAAGACGCTGGGATCGAGGTCTATGGTTTTCCATTTGCCTTTCATGTCGATGCAACGTTTCGCTGGCTTCCCTAGCCCGGTGGACATGCC